CTACAAACGTCGCCTAAAGTAATTGATTTTACCCGGCAGAACGAAAGAAGGAAACTCCGCTTTTCAGTCGTCTTAGGCCCTTGTTTTTTGACAAACAATGACCTTTCAGAGGTCAAATTGCTGTCAAGAAGATGAATTTGGCTGCTTCACAGCAATAAAATTCAAAAATTTGAATTACATACTCTGTATAGGTTACTATTCAATAATTTGTATTAGTTTATTCTTACACTAATACTTGTTTGCATCAGCACCTAATTCAATTGCAATTTAAATCAAGACAAATATGAGGCATGTTGTGGCGAAATGGTTGAGTTGTTGCACAGTCCAGTATTGAGTAAATGAGCTATAAAATATGCGAGCTCAAAAAATTGCCTAAAAATCCAAATTTATTTTTTACTAAAGATCAACAGTTTAATGTCTTATTAATCCTAGTGAAAGGTTTATAAAAAAAACCTGAATATTTTAATCAGCTGTTTACTTTTGAAATATGATTGGATCCTTTTGATTTTTAATTAATCTTTGTTTAGGATTAATCACAGAAATTAGAGAATAGAATTTTGAATTATATTTTCTCAAACAAATGAAACATTGCCCACTATAGATTTAAATTAAAGATAAAATATGAATAAGCCAATAATTACATAAAAACATAACCAAAATATAACAACCCCAAATAATTGCAAAATAACAATGTTGCAAGTTCTTTTACTCCAACCCAGATGTAATTTTTTTCTTCACTCTATTTTTATAATTTCCTATGTAAATTGTCTCAGTTCATTTTGCTTAAAATAATACAGCGAGTTTTTGATTTGCACTAAGACGTGACATTAGAAGAACGGATGCACTCATGCGTGTACATTCTCTGCACAACATAGGTTCGGCCAAATTGCGCCCTAGAATCTACGCAATGGGGAAAAATTAATGTTCTTGCAAGCACAGATAACTTCTTAGTGACGTCATTATGTACATCCTCCCTATTAATATTGGACAGTATCATTATTTAGTGTACAATAGTGTATTTTTATAATATGCAATATAATATTATGTTATTTCTAGCTAGTAAAAGTATTGCTTGCTTTATGACAACTATAAATGAATTTCTGAATCTAAATTACCAAGTTTAGTATATGCACAATTTGTAGTAAATATTATAATTTCTTGCATCACTTATTGCAATTAAACAAAAATATATAATGCTATACTGTAGATAAATGTAAAAGATAATCTTTATTTGACTATTTTATAAATGAATCAGTACAATATTATAAAGGGAAGAGATGATATTTTCTATGTTTATGAATAAACATAATATAAATAAACAGATAAATGGAACAGATAATCTGTGTTTATAAAGCTAACAAATTTTAGTATTTGTAAACATTATGACAAATACACCTGCAATAGAAATATTTGTTTGGCACACAAGTTGGGTGACAGACTAGAGAATTAGAACGTTTTTTTTTTTACAAGATATTCATAGAAACTGAACTGCCTTGTCAACAGGGGAGTTAAAATCCCATTTAGACTGATGGAATCAAAGCATGGCGGAGAGAGTAATTTATATTGATCCAGCCAGACCGAAGCCAACTGCAATATCTCCCCGAAGCTTTCCAAATCGTGCTGTTAACACTAACGTAGCACTTCAACGCGCTGCTGAAACATGTTTCACAGTTTTAGAAACTCATTTGCGATGGCTAACGAGAGAAAGATGGAATACACTTGACTAGGTGTCTTGGGAATATTGTTGATTCACTGAATAAAATTAGTGCCAGCGTAAATGAAAAACATTTATCAAATTAAATGAGAATTTACAACAGTTTATAAAAACCTTGTAAAAAATGCAGCCGTGCATGACATGGTGTGCATTGGCATACTGTTAAGTATATTGCTAAAACTGAAAATAAAAAGGCTGTAACTTAATAGAAGTTTAAACTATGAGTAGAATAATTGTGCAATAAACAAAGATTTTATAAAATTTAATTCATTACATGGCATGAAATGAAAAACACTATTTAAGATTATGCTGAATAATTATAATCAACTGATTGAAAGTACTGTATTTCTTCAATTTAAGGTATCTTTCACCATCTAGATACCTCATGAAGATAATTGAAGCTTGCTTCCTCTGTTGGATACCTTAATAATACATATCAACTCAAGTTACTTTCTCATTCTAATGTGAAACATAATCTGGTAATGCATCTTTCATCTCATCTGACACCTATACTGCAACACCTATACCATATCACCTTAGACATGTTATGTTTATAGTACAGTATACACATAAATGCGATGTATAAACACAAAATTGAGGATGGTGACACCTGAAACATAAACACTCTAGAATTGCAGGTGGGAATTAGAGGACGAGAAAAATTAAATCAGTCTATCTGAATTAAGTTTTACTTTCAGTAATTATTTCAAATTTAGAAGATTATTAGCCATGGCATACAGTGATGTATTGCACATTATACACCATCCCTATAAAAGCTCCTTTGCAAAATATTCTGAACGACAATTTTTACTTTGACATCATTTCAAATCACTGCTTGATGACATCACAAATTGTAGTGATAATAAATTAGAATTTTTTTAAACTTTATATTTATGGAGTAATAATTTTCTATCAATGTTGTATTTCAGAGAGACTTTTAAAAATATTTCCTTCACATCCAAACAGCAAGTACACTCACCGCTTAGGGAGTGGAGTTGTTTCCAGTCGTGAGAAAAAGTCCTATTGTGACGGGAATTGAACCCAGGGCCCTGGGATTAGAAGGAAGGCATCTTAACTAATAAGCTATTCACTCCAATTCTGTACAAAATCAAATACTGTAGTTTGTACTCAAAATGCTAGTAATTTAGATACTGGTATGGTGAATTTTGATCAAATTTTCAATCAATTGCAAAGGGCCATTTAATTACTGCAAGGAGTGCAATTCAAGTGAATAAGGGCAAGATCCTATTGTAACCCTACAACAGCAGCCTTTGCCCTATGGGTTGCCCTGTCACAATATAATCATGCTATCAAGGCATGCCCTTTATTGTTTTTGATAAGGATGTTCATAAACTTGACAGTACATGTGATAGGCTCTTGAGAAAAAAGCTGTTAGTTGGAAAAAATTTTAATTGAGTTTTTGGTATTTTTAGATTTTGCATGAATCCTTCTTTAAAACAGTGTTTATTTGATGGTAATTGGTTGTGTATTAGCGAAGTTATGAATATTTAATTCATTGTATATCAGCTAACTAGGTTCTGAGAAAACAGCTTTCAAAGATTCCAGAATCAGTAGTTTATTATCAAAATTTGTATTTTTAAAATAATTTTTAATATACTTTTCAGTTGTTGTAGATATAGTGACTGATATTTTGCATAAATGTTCTTCAAATATCTTCTTTTATAAAATGCAAAAACCTTAAAAATTTAATGTTCAAAATTCTGATGCTCGAAGGGTGCTTAGTGCAAAATTTTATGATTATATTTGTACCAATTTCTGGATGCACCACCATTGCAGATAGCGTCGTGTCACTGTTTTACAAGTGAAATACCTAATAAGTTATGAATTAACCATTTGTATAGATTTACTGGATGCCAAGTTTGGACTCGTGCTTTCTTTGCATTTATTATTACATCAGGACTTTGATTGATGGCATGCCTGTTTTAATCGATTGAAAGCATCGGGAATTACAGTACATCTCCTACTTTACTGTATTGGTTTCTCTTAACTGATAAACGTGCAATTCTAACATCGTCACAAGTGATAGTTTATTAAATTTTGAAAATCAGTACTATCAATCTTAATGAGGACATTCAACTGGCTATTTATTGTCCATAAGAAGCAATGGCTATAAACAGTGTAAACATGCCATGTTTCTGGGTATACATCGTTGTACTGATTAACTCATTAGATTTTTTTTTCTTTTTTAAATAATTTTATTAAGGCAATACAGTAAAAAAACACAATACCGAGTCTTAAGCCTACCCATCAGATAGGCTTTCCCCATTTTAGCTGATTCTTTCAGAAATAATCATGGCCTAATATATTTAATTCTGAAATGTAAATAAGGCAATAATTGCCTAGCGTCTCTAGTTGGCAC